AATTCATTCAACCCATTCATATTATGCTTTGTGACCTTTACCAATGAACTTTACGTTACAGTTTTATACGTAAGGGTGTTTTAAAATTGTTTGTTTTGGAAAATTTAATAACTTGGTAAATATTTATTTTTATTACAATTTTAAAAAGTTATCCTCTTTATGTGTGTTCATTTATTGTCGCGATTGTAAAGACACGCTGTATATAGGGAGTAGACGAAAACATAGTTTTACGATGTTATTATAGCACATGAATAAAAAATCTAACGCCTAAGTTACCGTGAGGTTTTGTACACAGTGCACGATCTTCCGCTTTATTCAAACATTTTCCGTTCATTAAAATCACGACTACGGACGATACAATTACAATTTTTTGGGTTCCTTTCCCAAAGGGGTAAAACGGACCCCATTACTTTGCCATCCTACCTGATGATGGCCATTGATGGTAAGCGCGGTAGCTCAGTAAAAACCTATTCACTCTTGTCTTGAAAAACGTAGGCGACGTTGTAATGTAATGGACAGACGGACAAATAGCTCTTTTCCTTAGCTGTACGGATGATGAAGTTTACAAGTTCTCCAGCGCAATAATTACTCCAACGCGAAAGAATTATACTTCCACCTTACGCCGGTCTTCTGTGAGGTCGTGGTACTTACCCGGACGAGCCTGCCCATTCGTGCAACAGCCGAGGCTGCTGCACGGCCCTACCACCGTAGTAAAAGGAGAGAAGTTGATTTATTTAAAGCCTACTCAAGCAGAGAAGATTATAACAGTAAGCGTGTAAGGCGCAGATTAGTAAAGGAATAATCCCCATCCCAATACTGTTCACTAACTGCCGATAGATTAAAGGCTCTTAGCCACAAATGCCCCAAGACTTTTGTAACAAATCTAAAATTTGCTCTTATTAGGGAAGCCGATTGGCAAAGTGGATAATGAACGTGTTATCTGCAAAAGAGGCTGTAGTTTCGATCCCCGCTACTAGAGGATTATTTTGTGATAAACGTAATAATATGTTATAAATGAAACTAATTTTACGGATTTATCGCGTTTATTTTTAATTTTAATTCCCGACGTTTCGAACCCTTTACAGCGTTCATGGTCTGCAGTTTGTGAGCACATTTTGAATAGGCCCAACCACTACATCAGGTTTGACAAACCACAGATCCTTGCAAAAGAACACCGATTCCTCCCAAGGATGATTCGCGAGGCTATTGAAATTAAAAAAACACCCTAATTTCAATAGAGAAGAAGGTTGGGTACTACCATCAGCTTGGGATCCTGTCATCAATAAAATTAAATCTAGGCCCAAACGAACCACTACTGCAAGACAAGATACAATTAGCTCCCTCTGCATAGATCGGACACAAAATTAATAATTCAAAAAACCAAGGACTTTATAACCAAATCTAACGGTAGCCCGGGTTAACTATGACAATCAGACGTCTAAACACCTCAGTCTGTCCCGTGACCATGAACGCTGTAAAGGGTTCGAAACGTCGGGAATTAAAATTAAAAATAAACGCGATAAATCCGTAAAATTAGTTTCATTTATAATGTGTAATCGCGTAAATACAAGAAATTATTATGTAATAATATGTTTTTCTAGTATCCAGTTATTAATATATCTATAATATATTTATGTTTATCAAACATATTGTACAGAAATAAAACAGGCTTTGCTTACTTTGACACTAGATAAAGTTCAAAATAAATATATCTTCAAATATTTATTTATTTAGTTGGAACGTACTGAAACCTTAAACTGCGTTTATTACGAAACCTTGATATTTGTTCATCTAGTGATTTATAATAGACTAGCTACCCGCCCCGGCTTCGCACGGGTGCAATGTATTACACATATAAACTTTCCTTTTGAATCACGCGATTTAGTAAAAAAAACCGCATCAAGATCCGTTGCGTAGTTTTAAAGATCTAAGCGTACATGGGGTACAGACAGACAGCGGGACGACTTTGTTTTATACTATTTAGTGATGCACAGCAAAGAGACGTTTACATTTCAAGTGACATTTTACCACAGTCACTCACTTGTTTTGCCTTCCCGGAACCCCTCCACTAATACTTAAACTTTATGGTATGGTATTTAAGTTCAAACTGACTTTTAATTGTTATTACTTATTGTTTTTAGACTTGTTCAGTCAATTTTTAAATTGTTCTCTCCGTATGAACCATCTTCCTACTTCAAGGAATATTATAAAAAAAGAATTAGTGAAATCGGTCCAGTCTTTCACGCGTGATGGCATGACCAAGCGAAATATGGATTCATTTTTATATATATAGATTAATAATGGCTTAGTGGAATGCCGTCTTACATTTGCAAGACGCGGAAAGAAGAATAATCGTAATGACATCTATTATAACCCTTGTGCTTTTATTTTCCAACAACATAGTGATGGTCGTTTTTTCCATACGTGCGTGCAAAATCCTACACACTTGTTTACGCTCGGTGTTTTTTTTTTATGCGAAAAGTTTTCAAACGAGCAGACGGTTCACCTGATGTTAAGTGAATACCGCCGCCCGTGGACATCTGCCACGACCGAGGGTTATAGATGCGAAAATTGGGCTCCGGCTACCTCACTCACCAGACGAAACGCGAAAGTATTTGTCATACTTCCACTTTACGCTGGTCTTCTGTGAGATCGTGGTACTTACCCGGACGGGCTTGCCCATTCGTGCAACAGCCGAGGCTGCTGCGTGGCCCTACCACCGTAAAAGGTAACCGGTGTAGTGAAATAGGCTAAGTTCATGTCATAATGATGTGGCTAACCCTTGCGTCTCTTACTCTGGTCACAAAGTTGTGTCAAAATATTTATTTGGAACATATCTAACCATGGCGATAGGCAAAATAAAATCGAAAATGAAGGCTTTGTGTTCCTCTCTGCTCCATTGTTGAACATGCTATTATCGAGACATTTTAATTAAATTTTCAAAGTATAAAATTGGCCTTTGGCAGCGGATGGTAATTAATTTTAAAGTATAACGAGCCAATTAGCAAATGTCGGATTAGGGGCAACGCCGCAATGTTCGTAATGGTGGAAAGAACCTCATCTCAAATAATTCATAATGATTCCGTAGCACAAATGCCAAAGGTATTGGCTTCACCGTCGGCGGTCTTGGGTTCGATTCCCACACGGGACAACTGTTTTGCATGAACCACAGATAGCTGTTTGCTGGGTGTGTGTATCCATGTGAAATTTATGTTTTTAAAACGTCCTTACATCACAGGATAATGTTATCCTCAAGTAAGTGCAATGTTTTTTAAAAGAAAGACAATAGATAATTAAATAGTTTTTTACATTACACACAGTAACAAATATGATCAGTTTTCATAAAATTAATTTTAATGTGCACCTAGTTATACAGCGGGCATATGAATGGGTTGAATGAATTTGAAAGAGACAAAACATACTGTTAGGAGAGGCTTGTAATGCGACGAATGCTGTGGCAACGAATGAAAAAGTCTCTGAATGTATGAATCAGTCAGTTGTAGTTGTATAGGTGTTACAAATTTTGTTTCTTTTTTCCTTAATTAGTTTGTTTGAAAAATATTTTTTTTTAATTATGGATTTTTTTAACTTTAATATTGTTTTATGATTATTGGCAAGTAGCGTTAGACGTGTGTTCATTTATTGTCGCGATTGTAAAGACACGGTGTTAAAGGCCGCCTTTTACTATGCGTAACCGCGTACAACATGATAATTTTTACATTTATTAAACAATTAAAAAAATAAAACTGACACACACAATGTTTTAACACGTAAGTGAAAAGCTTAAACATCATTCATAGTTTAGTATTTTAATTGTTAAAGAAAAACCGGCCAAGTTTGAGTCAGACACGCTCTCGAAGTTGACCGTACCATCCTTACTTCCTTACTAATATTATAAACGCGAAAGTTTGTATTTATGGATGGATGTTTGTTACTCTTTCACGCCAATACTACTGAATGGATTTTAATAAAACTTTACAATAATATAGCTTAAACATCAGAATAACACATAGGCTATAATTTATATACATATGTTATGTATATCTGTCTTTCTGTCTAAAAGTTACGCCTTCAGCCAATTCTACGCAGACGTAGTCGCGGGCGGCAGCTAGTACAAGATAAAACCACGGACTACCAAAACATTATTTAAATTTAAGTTATTTTACTAGACCGTGGATAAGGCCAAATAAATATCCGGTCTCGGCCCTCCGAGTTTTATCCGTAAACCCCAATGGCCTTTGACATTTTTAAAAACAGACAGTTATATAATAGAAAGACACAATTAATATTCCTTGACGAACCTGTATTACACGTTAAATTTAAATAACAAAATCATGATGAGTGTAATAAATATGTAGCTATTACTTATATCATGATAATGTACGTGCAATTAATTTTTTTTATTGCATATTCATGTACTGTAGTGCACTATTATATAATTTAGAAGAAATTCATATTATTTGGTTTATCAAATCAATGCGGATTCGATGATGGTATATCCAAATGATATTTTTATTCTTGCAAGCTTATCCTACCAACCTACCAAAAAAAATTGCTGTTATAAATCCATAAAAACTGTTTTGCGTCACTTTTTCTGGACTAGACGAAGCTAAAACGTCAAATAGACGATTATAATTTTATCTGACCTAGCTAGAAAAAATGTTATCAATGTGATGATATTGACATTATTTATTACTTTTCTGAAATGTATTTCATCGCAACATTGGAATTTTAATTGCCATCTATTCAAAGATATGATTGATTCAAAATAATACCTAAGCAATGACTTAGATACTATTCTGAATTAATTTGTCGACGCATATAAACGTTACATTTCATTAGAGTCTGAAAAGGGTTTTGCATTAAGTGTAAACTGTAATAAAAAAGGAAATTTGGTAAAACTTTTATCATCTTCATTCAAAATTATATTATCAATGGCATTATGCATCAATGTTTTTCCTATGTTCGAATAATGTTCGAGTTGTAGAACCTCGTGCTTATAATTTGAGAAAGCTTTTGGATACCGGCAGCAGACGAATTATTTCTCGTGAGTCGGAATAGATTAAGTTGTTATCCTTGTCGAAGGTCATTCCTAGCACACCTTGGATATTTACGATCTTCTTCACCTTCTGTATCATTTTACTTATGACGAATATTTCGTTCTCGCTGCACAGGTACACGTGACCTTTGTTGTTCGCGGCCATCCCGAGGAATCGAGGGTTGTCTCTCATCAGTATGATATCGCTTTCACCGTTCTTGATCCCGTAAAGGCCGGTGCCGTTGATAAAGAATAAGTTGTCCTCATTGTCAAAAACAAATTGGTTGACGGTGACATTCTTAAGGAAACTGATCGGTTTGACAGTCCTCTCGTGGTAGTAGTATGCATTCAGACTGGGAAATCTGATGAAATATATATTCTTCTTGAAAAATAACCACCAGATGTCGAGATTCTTCACCGCCAGACGCTTAAGGGTCTGCAATACAGAATCATACCTGTAGATTCCGTTGCTTCCACCGAAATACATTTCGTGGGTCAACGGATCGTTGGTCACGGCGAATGCGTCTTTAATTCCTTTGAGAACGGTCACTTTCTTAGTCTCGATTTGCACTGCGGCTGGTATGTACTCCCCCTGACCTGAATCGAAACTAAAGTACACGGTGTTCGTCAGTTTATTCACTGCCAACTGGTTGGGACTATGACTGAGAGCAACGAGGGTCTCCTTTATGTAGCACTGCTTTAGAAGATCATCCGTAACCATATCACAAATTCTTCCCAGGTTTTTTGTACACTCAATCGTCATCAGTACAGTTAAGAACACTAAAAAAAATGTATACATTCTTGAGTAATTGAAATTGACTATGCGATTTTGATGTTGTATTTAAAATTATTTTTCTATTTCATATCGCCTTTTATATCATGGGTAAACTATAGAGTAAATAAATTTTAACTTTATTAACCTATAAATTTATAACAAAACCTTTCTACCTATGGTGACGGTTAACAACTGAAAGGGGCCGCGAGTCTGCTGGGGTGAACGATGAAACGCCAAACAAAGAGAATAAACAAAGGTATTTTGGAATCGGCCATTGTTAGAATCGAGCGTGAGAGACACGTGTTTGTAATCAATCAATTATTGGATTGGAATAATGAAAATTGGGTTCTCGAATCGGTAACAATCAAATTCCAGTAAGACATTCATAAGACGCTGTTAAATCATTATTGCATCATTATTTGTGGCTCATTATTACATACGCATTATTTAACACCATGGGTTGTTTTGTATCAGAAACTAAATCCTCTATAGAATGTTATAGTAATCTTGAAGATACTAGAAAAGTAGAAGTATGTAGTGATGTTGTCGTTACTCCACTTTTATGTAGATCAACCTAATAGGCTATTATCCTGACGATGTACAAACACTTAACAGATTTGACTCCGCAACCCTGGATGAATGTACTGACCTCATTAATCGTGGATAAATAACATTTGTATTTAGGGATCAGGTATCTGTTGATATAACTATATCTGTGGTACATTTATGCAGTTGTAACCGTGGTGGGGCCCCGTAGCAGCTTCTGCTGTTTCACTAATGGGTCAGCTCGTCCAAGGAAGTACCGCGACCTCACGGAAGCCTGCCGTGATGTTAAAATATTATACGTTCTCCTTTCGTCTGGGCCCACTTTTAAATAGGTTGGCAACCCACCAGATGTTATAAATGTCCATGGGCGACGGAAGTCACTTAACATCAGGTGAACCACTTGACAAATATTTACATATACATGTTTTTAATACATAGTTTTACTTAACTGTTGTAGCATAACCTAAATGTTAATAAGATTGTCTTATTTACATTGCCTTATTTAAGGGATGTGCCACATGAAAACAAAATAAGATTTGACATTAATTTGCAGTTAAGCAATTTATTCTGTAATAATTCAGTGAATTTGACATGTCAAAATAATGATACTGACAAATTACATATAATTGACATTAATACCATAATTAAAAATGTGTACGTGTACTAGCGTACACTCGTAAGAAGTGAAACTATTTTATGACGTTATTTTTCAAAAAATAATTTACTATATGCAACTTTACAGAAATTGGTTAAATAAAGTTAAATTAGATAAAGTTTAATAAAAGGCTTTTATTATCATAGACATAAATACAAATTCTACAATTATTTCATTTTAGCTTTGTATAATATTTAGTTTCTTATTTGTAATACATAGGTGGCGTTAGTAGTAAATTAAAACACACTATGGTTTGACCGTTGGAATTAGTATGAGGGTCCGCAAAAATTGTTGATTAAAAAACTTGCAACGTGAACCTTGTTTATTTCAATTAACCTCACGGACCCAAAATACAACCGCTTTGAATTTGTACATGGTCCTTCGTTGCCGAATAGTCAGCCAGTGAGTAGAAGGCAGACATTGGATCGACGTTGGATCGACGTCGCAACCGCAAGTTCCAGGAGCCGATCGAGGCTTCGAAGAGCATATATTTGTGTTATTAATGGCTTATGATAACTGAAATACGAAATGTATTGTTTATATTTTAGAATTAGAATTAAAATAAAGCCTTTGATTTTGCTGATCACTTGAATATAACATATATATATATATATATATATTGCTATGAACAAACGGAGGAACTAACGCCATCTAGCGTCAACTATTAAAACCACTAAAGAATAAAGACGACATAAAACCCCCTATTCAACACTAGATGGCGTTAGAGGAACATTTTAAGATAAGAAAAAGACGCGTAACGCAAAAATGTTACACTAAATTTTTTTCCAACCCCGATAAAGAAGTTTCACTTCAAAAATATCTAACAAAATATAGGTATGTCCTATCAAAATTTAATTTAAGACTGATAGCAAATGCGCTGTCTTATTTTTTACATTTTAATTTAGCCAAGTGTTTGGCTACACCATCTTCTGCTCCTATTGAGCAGCTTAATAGTTTAATATGTACTTTGGAATCCGTTCCAAATAATTTAAATTAATTATTGCGACAAAAGAGGAAATCTCTTGCAATGACATTTATGTAATTAATTATAAAAAAAAATATTCTATTTCACAGAAAATGTTATGTAATAAAAATTGTTTAAACCTGGTGCATCAAAATATTCAAGGTTTTCAAGGTAAAGATTTAGAAATTGACTTGTTTTTAAATAGCAATGATGTTGATATTTTATGTATTACTGAACATTGGTTAAAAAATAATACCTTTAAGTTTAACTTCAGTAGACACCAGGTTGTTAGTTCCTTTCAATAGAGAAAAAGTGTTACGTGGTGGCTCTTTAATATTATTGAATAGATGTTTGTCATATAAGGAGCGTAAGGATATTGTGAGCCTCTCTGTTGAGAGAACTATAGAAATGGCTTGTGTTGAGCTTGAGCATCTCATTGTTGTTAGTGTTTACAGACCGCCCTGTGCCTTGTATGAACGTTTTGAAAAAATCATGGAGGAAGTTTTACATAAACTTCATAAACAGAATAAATCTGTCGTCATATGCGGAGACTTTAATATTAATCTCCTAGAAGCTTCTTCCATGAGGATATGATTCTGTTCATTGTTAAAATCATTTAATCTCTTCAACTTGTTTTTTGAGCCTACAAAAATAACAGAGTCAAGTGCAACAAGTATAGATAACATTTTTACAGATGTCAAACCATAGCACAGACTAATAATACATAAATTAAGTTCTGACCATTCAGGGCAGTTTGTCACATTATAAATATAAATATATTTTAGGACACATTTTTTACACAACATTTTCCAGTCCCAAACTAAGCAAAGCTTGTACTATGGGTACTAGAAAACTGATAAATATACTTAAACATACTTTTCTTTTGTAAATAAATACATATAATACATATATAAACACCCAGACACTAGAAAAACACCATGTTCATCACACAATATTTTTCCAGTAGTGGGGATCGAACCCACACCCTCTGGCGCAGGAGGCAGGTACACTACCCACTACGCTATTCGGGTCGTATATTCGCTATTCGACATTGCCTCTGCACTGTAACATCCAAGATACTAGGAAAGCTGTGTTTGTAAATAAATATCGCAAGGAGAAGTTTAGAAGTATGTTACATAATTAGGTACACATCCTGGAAATCGCCTACACTGCAACCACCCAGCTACGACATTCCATTCTCAAGGGATTGCTTATTCCGTACTACGTGCCGTCGCCCGTAATCCCACGGATACGAAGTGGTTGCGCAACACAGGTGTTGGACACCGGGACCGTCCGAAGCATCGCAGCGAGCGTCACTTTTGTCTCTAACATCGAGCAATTCTCACCTCCCTTAGAAATGTAGTTAACTTGTAACTTTTATATAATAAAATAAGTAGTCTTAAGTTTAACTTTGCATTTTTTTGCATCCTCCGGCCGCAGCCTTCGTAATTGGCGCAGTCGGTAGGATAGACAATTAGAGTCAGTGAATCGATCACGGGCGTTGGCTATCCGAACCTACAAGAGCTGCTGCCGAGAGGAGTTTCCAGACATCGAAACGAGCAGACAAGTGCAAATTTATCGGTGAGTATCTAGATCTTACTAGAGTTGCTTTCCTTTTTGTTTCCTTTACGTATCCAAGATTTTTCATTCAAGAAATTTCACGGACCCTTAGGTTAGGTAGCACACCTAGAAGTTTGCAGCTAGATAGTAGTAGAAATTTAAATATAATTATAGAAAATAGCGAATTACTATATTGCGATTACGAAACATTAGCATCAGACTCTGTCAAAATGAGCGATGCACTTTTACTTTATCGTTTATTGGTGCATCGAGCACTATATATCCGTTAGTTAGTTTATATCAAATTAAAAAAATTATACATAAGTGAAAAGTTTTATATTCAAAAGATGAGATCTTTGAAATGGACTATAGATTTTTTATAAAATAACTAAGTAGAGCTAAGTAGCTAAGCAGGTTGAGATACTTATAAAGGTCCCGATTATTATTCCCGTAACCTACGACCTCTATAAATTAGATATTTTCCTAACAGAAATCACGACGTCCTTATCCCCTCCTCACCTTTCGTAGCAATCTCTAGCACGGACTCTAGGTACATAGAGACAGAATGTCCGAGAGTAAAAGCTTTGTATCTCTGCGAATCGAAGCCTCAATACAGTGGTCAAGAAAATCCTGACTGCATTCAATATGTAATTATCAATCAGGAACTCCAATATAACTGTAAACTGACTCAAGTCACTTGGGGAAAGAAGCTTTCGAAGCACTGGACGATTATCACGCCGAATTTGAAAGATCTTCATGCGCTAAGCACTAAAATAGCCCTTGAAGCTCCTACTCGCTTGAAGAAAATCACCGATTCAAGTATATACCACACCACTATTCCAATTTTCCTAATGCTGTTAAGTGTACCATCACTTGGTGCTGCATTTATGTATCGCCGATCCCGAGTAAGACACCTACAAAAAGAGACTCCGAGCAAGACACCTACAAAAAGAAAATCGAGCTATGGAATAGTAGAGGTGACTCCAGCGCTGAGGCGAATCAACCCTAGTGAAATAAGGGTTGATCATAAGAATATTTCAGCAACCCTCTCGAAAAAGTTTCTCGATTAGTCGCTGATCTACGGGGGGAGATGTTACATAATTAGGTACACATCCTGGAAATCGCCTACACTGCAACCACCCAGCTACGACATTCCATTCTCAAGGGATTGCTTATTCCGTACTACGTGCCGTCGCCCGTAATCCCACGGATACGAAGTGG